TATCAGCATCAGCATCATCATCAGCCTCACCATCATCATCATCATCATCAGCAGCAGCAGCAGCATCATCATTATCATTATCAGCATCATCATCAGAATCTCGCATCATCAAGATCATCACCATCGTCGTCGTCATCAACATCATCATCATCATCATCATCATCAGCAGCAGCAGCATCATCATCATCATCGTCATCATCGTCATCATCGTCAGCATCACCGCTATTAACACCGTCACCATCATCGTCATCATCAACAACATCATCGTCATCGTCATCGTATTCATTATCAGCAGCATCATCAGCATCCTCAGCATCACCATCATCAGCGTCGTCCTCATAGTCATCATCATCAGCATCATCAGCATCCTCACCATCACCATGATCAGCATCATGATCATGATCAGCAGCATCATTATCACTACCACCACCACCACCATCATCATCACCATCATCATCACCACCACCACCATCATCCTCATCATGATCATGATCATCATCATCATCATCATCATCATCATCATCATCATCATCCTGATCCTCGCCCTCATCCTCATCGTCATCCTGATCCACCTTCACCCGGTCGCTCCTCTCCTCCTCTTCCTCCTCCTCCTCCTCCTCGTCCTCTTCCCCCAAGTGGCAGACGTCGTGAGCTCGTTGATCTTTGCCTCGGCGGCCTCGATGGAGGCAGTGAGCTTCCCGATGTCAGACTCCGCTGTCTTGCAGATGTGTTATCCGCCTCCAGCGCAGCTCCTCCGATGCTAGAAGCGGAAGGGGCATCAGCGGCAAGAGGAGTGAGGATGAACGGTAGGAGGGGACCGGGTCATAGGGGAAAACATCGAGCTGGAATCGGCGAAATGTGGCCGTCAGAACGTCGATAGGCCCCCGAAAAGGGACATCGTGTCCTTAACGATGAATGGGCGATGGGGGCCAATGCATCTCCCCTGAGATACCCCCCATGTTCTTCAAATCCGACCCTGATCATCGACCTCTGGCTTTCGAGTCAGAACTCGGGTCTGCAGCGGCCGTTCGGGACGATCTGGGCACCCCCTGAACGCCCTCGGCGAGGCGCAGCCGCTGGAACGCGTTCCGAGACTAGGAAGACGACGAGAACCGGGGACGGCAGGAAGAAGGAGAAGGAAGAGGAGCAGGAGTAGCTGCAGCAAGAGAAAAGGGAGCGGGGAGGGGAAAAGGAGGAGCAGGAGGGAGGACGAGGAGGAGAAGGAGGAGGAGGAGGAGCGAGGAGGAGGAGAGAAGAGCGAGGAGGAGGAGGAGCGAGGAGGAGGAGGAGGAGGAGGAGGAGGCGCGAGGAGGAGGGTGAGGAGGATGAGGAGGAGGAGGAGCGAGGAGGAGGGAGGAGGAGGAGGAGCGAGGAGGAGGAGGAGGAGGAGGAACGCGACGGCAGCTCGCCGACCTCCCTTCCTGGAGGGAGGACAACCACGATAAGAAGCGTGAGAAGCGAGAGGGGCAAGAGGGAAGAGGGAGGGACGAGGCACGAGGAAGAGCGCAAGACCCCAAGAAGGCTCACAGAGGGACCAGTAGCGGCCCAACAGCCGGGACCGATGAAAGGCAGGCAACAAACATTGCCCCCAAGACAGCCCAAAGAGACCTCAAGGTCAAAACACTGTGGCACAAGACTGTCCAAGACTGCCCCCAAGAGAACTCCAGGTAGCCATGAATGGTCTAAGAAGTGCCACAGTAGTCCCCAATAAGACCCTCAGAGGCCCCCAGGAGGTCTCCAGACACCTCCCAAACCCTCCCAAGAGTCGCTTAACATACTCCGACAGTCTATGAGGGGGACTTTGCATTGCCTTCTCGTGCTTTAGACCTTCGATAGCAAGACTGTGGTGAAAGCGTGTTCCTGTGTGTTGCACTCACTTTATACGCGACTGTTTCTCCGCCACGCAGGCTTCACACGACAGGTTGTGCCAGGTTGGGGAAACTACAGCCACCTAACAACTTCCCAATGTCCACGAGCACGCAGACAACTGGAAAAGACGATACAAGAAGGGCTGGCGGAAAAGATGGAGAGAGCGAGACAGAGAGAGAAACCAACAAAAAACACAAAACGGGGAGCGAGGAGGTAGATGGGGAGGAGGAGATTCCTCCTCCTCCTCCTCCTCCTCCTGCTCCTGCTGCTGCTCCTCCTGCTCCTGCTCCTCCTCATCCTTGACAACCTGGAGAGGTAGGGAGATAGGATAGACAGAGACTGGACAACAAAGACGGACTGCACAAGAAAGAACAGCATCACATACTGGACAGGCAGGCCAGAATAGAAAGGGCCAGACCAGCGCAAACATGGGCAAGGCCGGAATGAGCCAGGCTGGACCAGACACGGGGGGGCAAGTGGACGAACGGACTGCACAGCTGGTGCCGAAGGCAGGCAAGAGCGAAGGGAATGGCAGGACACCTCAGGACAAACGCCCTGGGTCAACGAACAGGGAGCGGGGAGGACAAGAGACGGCAGGCAGTGGAATAAAAAAAAGTGCGCACGCCTTCATCTCGAAGCCGAGCTCGACCTCCTGGTCGTGGACCCACTCCTATCGGCATGACGTTGTTTCGCCAGCAATGCTCTCATGCCCCGTGAATTGGTGTGCGCTGCGCTGTTGCATGGTTTGTGCTGTATTGCGTAGTGAGTGGTGGTGTCTGCATCGCTGCGTACTGTGTGCTGTAAGCTCGGGTCCGTGCAGTGCGTCGTGTACGTAATGCGTTGCGCATGCAGTGCGTGTCTCCTCATCCTCATCATCCCCCTCAGCCTCCTCCTCCTCCTCCTCCTCCTCCTCCTCCTCCTCCTCCTCCTCCTCCTCCTCCCCATCGTAAACATCATCTGCAGCACACCAGCACCACCAGCAGCAGCATCATTAGCAGCATTATCAGCATAAGCATCAGCATCAACATGATCAGAAGCAGCATTACAAACATTATCAACATAATACTGAGAATAATGTGCATCATCAATATCAGCATCATCATCAGCAGGATCATCATGGCCAAAATCATCATTACCACCTACAGAATCATCATCGTCATCATCAGAATCCGCATCAGCATCATCATCAGCATCAGCATCAGCATCAGCATCAGCATCATCATCTCATCATCACCATCATCATGAGCATCAGCACCGCCATCATCAGCATCATCACCATCACGATCAGCATCACGATCACCATCATCATCATCATCATCATCATCATCATCATCATCATCATCATCATCATCATCATCATCATCACTACCACCACCATCATCATCATCATCAGCAGCAGCATCGCAATGATCATCGTTAGCATCATGTTCATGATCATGATCATAATCATCATGGTTGCAGAATCATCGTCATCATCATATTTGTCATCATCATGGTCATCATCAACAAAATCACAATCGTCATCATCAGCCGCATCATCATATTCAGCAGCATCACCAGCATCAGCAACAGGTGTCATCAGCAGCATCATCACCGTCAGCATCATCATCAGCTTAATCCTCCTCCGAATCATCATCGTCATCATCATCACCTGCATCAGCATACCCATCCTCATCATCATGATCATCATCATCAGCATCATTAGTAGAAGCGTCATCATCATGGTCATCACCGCCACCATCACCACTATCAGCATCATCACAATCATCGCCATCATCATCGCCATCGTCATCGTCATTGTCATTGTCATTATCAGCACCACCATCGCCGTCAGCATCATCATCATCGTAATCAGCATCGCGTCACCAGCATCATCAGCATCAGCGTCAGAATCAGCATCAGCATCAGCATCCATCATCATCACCATCACAGTCAACAGCATTATCAGCATCACCCTCCTCATCATCATCATGAGCATCACCATCAACATCATCATCAGCAGCATCATCAGCATCATGATTGTTAGCATCACCAGCGGCAGCATCATCTCCATCGTGACCCTCAGCAATGTCAGCATCATTGTAGTCATCATCCGCAGCAGCATCCTCACCCTCATCATCATCGCAATACTTATCCTCATCCTCATCATTACCATCGTGACGCTTACCCTGGCCAGGAAACTCTTTTGTGTGTGTGTGTGTCAGGCCAGGCGGGTCGATCGAACAGGATGGATTCTGGGCGACGCTCGGCACAACGATGGAAAGAAAGATGGACGAGCGACACGGACATACAAAGCACAGCACACACAAGCGAACGAGGAGGAAAGAGAGAGAGAGAGAGAAGACCAAGAAAGGGAGGAGAGGGCGAGCACAGAAAATGTTTGGGCCGTGGCAGTTGCAGGCGATTCGGCGCTCGCAACCGCACGGCCCCCATTCGCTCTACGATTACAAGTCAGGAACCACCCATCGTGACGCTTACACCGGCCAGGAGACTTTCTGGTGTGTCTCAGGATAGGCGGGTCCAACGAACAGGAAGGTTCCCGTGCGGCGCTCGGCAGAACGAGAAAACGAGAGAGGGACGAGCGACACGGACACACGCACACACACAGAACAACATACACAAACGAACGAGGAGGAGAAAGAGAAGACCCGCGAACACCCCGAACGGGCTTCTGGCACTAGCCGCCATTAGTATAAAAAATGATATGTCTCAGTCGGCACAATCGGTTTGCATCGATACTACGTTGCAGAGCCCGAGAGGGGGCAGGGCTCGGCAACGCGACTCCAAAGTTTACCCGAGCTCTGATCAAGTCCCGTCAGGACGATGTGGGGCTTCATGGAATGGCTGCAGACTCCTCCCCGCCCGTGACAAAGATGGAAGCTGTACGGAGAAGCTGAGAGCCCAGACTTGCACCCTTGTCCTTTTGCGCCAACGTGCCCCTAAACTGCAGTAGTCAACCACGCAAGCCTGGCTAGACGAGCGACGGGCCCCGCGCTCGAGAGAAGCGACCTTCCACAACCAAATGGACCCTGGGTTCTCGAGGACCGCCGGAGTGCGGACTCGAGGGCAGCCGCGGATCACCCGCAATTCAAAAACGTAACTGGCCGTTGCCGCGTTTGCAGGCCGCGGAGGCCCTCAGGCCCAGGTTCGGGAGGCCCCAATCGTGTTCCGAGCTACGCAGGCGGCACCAGCTGGAGCCAGGGGGGCCGCGGCGGGCCTGAGGCAAGGCGCAGCAAGGGGCACCCACCAATACAGCACAAAAGACCCTACTTGAAATCCACCCTCGCATCGCGAGCTCAAGAACATGGCAGTTCAGATCGCACTAGGACCGATTCAAAATGCCGACCGAAATCGCGGCGAGCCCTCGGGCCCCCATGGCCCTTGAATCCCAGCCTCGCCGGCGCAAAGCTCCAGGAAACCTGTTTTGGCAGGCCCTCGCTGCACCTAGAGGCCGCCGCAAAAGGCGGCGAAGGCGAAGCCTCACCTGACAGTCGCTCAGGGGCGGATAGGGGCCAAGAAAGGCGCTGGTGGCAGCGGCGCGCTGGCCTCGAAGATGCCAGCGAGCTGCTGTTGCATCTGTTTGCCGAAGTCGATCACGACCTGCGGGGCCTTGCGCGGCTGCGCCAGCGCCCGCGCCTCCTTCTCGCGGCGCTCCGGCATAGCGTCGCTCCGCCATCTGCTGCGAGCTTCCACCTCCAGCGGGCTCGGCCTCTTGACCAGCAGGTCGTAGGAGGCGCCGCTATGCCTAAGGCCGTACGCGTCGATGCCCATGCCTGACATGCCCTGCGCCTCGGCGGCCTCCTGGACTTTGAGCGCGACGTCGCCCAGCGGTCCAGATCCGCTGGTCGGGCGCCCCGCACCGCTGCTCCAGCTTCAGCAGGCACGCGCACGGGAAGCCAAGGTCGTCGGGAACGACGCTCTCGCCCCAGGCGCCGACCTCGGCGGGCCCCCCGAACTCCGCAGGGCCGAGAAGCAGGCCCCAGCATGCCGACTGGGGACCCGCAGCCTCCACGGGCGGCACCAGCTGGAGCGCCGCGAGCGAGTCGCACTCGCCAGGCCGCAGGCACCCGTGGGAGGACAGCAGGACAGCCACCGCCTGCTCGATCAGGCCTCGAGACAGCAGGTGACCCACATTGGCCAGCGCCAGCACGCAGGGCACTGGCCGGCGCGACTTGCGCGGCACCACCATCGCCAATCCAGCAAGCGCTCGCACCGAACGGGGGAGGCTCTGGTCTCCGCGGCGCCCGACCTCGGGGTTGTGAAATTTCACCGCCGCCCTGGTCTTGCTGGCCACATCCCCCGCCATGCCCATGAAGTCCAGGTGCTGGACCAGCGCGTCGTCGAGGCCATTCACGCTCGCCCAGTTGAAGCCTGACTCCAAAGCCCACTGCAGAAACGCTTTCATCTTCCTGAAGTAGTCCTTCCGCGTGGCCCCCGCCAGCGAGCGGCTCTCGAGGCGGGCTGAATGGGGCGCGTCCGGGAGGAGCATCGACATCTGCAAAGACCATCGGCACCAGGCGCGGCGCGCCGCCGCCGCCACAGCGGATGGCGCGGTCAACCCGACCAGCCAGTTCCCCTGGATCGCCACCAAGGTTCGCATCTGGCATGGGGCCGAGCGCGCCGAGGGCTGAGAACCTCGGGACGGCTGGAAGAGGTTGAATAGGGTCAGCAGCAGGATGGCCAGCGCCGCCCTCGGCGACCACGTCGGGCTCCGCCTGCCGCTCGATGCAGAAAAAAAAACTCTGGACGGGTTGCCCGCTGGATCCCTTTCGGACGGGGCCCAGCGAATGCCCACATGAAGACAGCAACCCAGGGTCACGGCGGCGATCACACGAAGGACGTCCCGATGTTGGAAGGCCGCGGAGCGGCCCTTGCCCACTGCCAACGCCAGCCCCACGCTGTCGGCGAGGGCGAGTACTCGATGGCCGAAAGCTCGCTGACCCCGAGGAGCGCGACGAAGGGCATTCGAAAGCGCGAGTCCCTCAAAACGGAGAATGTTCGCCGGGCCCCGCTATGGAGAGAACTCCGCGACATGCCACGCCCCTGGGATCCGCGATGCCCAAGTCGATCATGTCGCAGGACTTCCTGAACTCGCCAGCCTGCCGCAAGCTGTCTAGCAGGTGATCGGCCGCGACAACGTCGGCGACCTCCGCGTTGACGGCGCGGCCCCTGGCTGCCGCAGCTCCCTGCTTGCAGCGCCACTCCTCGTCGGCGCGGCCCTGGCGCCCGACCAGCTCGGGGTCGGCTCTGCGGACGCAACCCACGCGGCCCCGAAGAGAGGCGCCGCAGGCAAGCACGCCAGGCTTGCCACGCGGCGCCCGCGCGGGCGACGCACAACGGGAGCAGGTCATGGACCATCTTCAGCTCCAGCACCACCGAGCCCCAAAAAGGGGCGCCCTGACGATCGCGGGCCTTCACGAAGGCGAGCCGAAGATGGAGACGGTCGAGCGCTGCAGCAGCGCGAGCCACGCGGCGCGCCCGAAGATCACCTCCAGCACGCCCCCCGGCGCCCACGCCTCAAGAGCTCCTCGATGGTCCGGCGAAGCCGCCACATACGGCGCGTCGACACTCGCACCGCGCGAGCTCGGCCGTCGAAGGAGAGGCCCACGAAGTCGGCGCGGTCGACGGCCT